CTCCACCTTATTAAACCACAGGCAGCTGAGCATGACAAACGTTGGAGGCAAGACTTCAGAAATTCCAGTGCTCACAGAAATATTTCATCCTGCTGAATGCAGCTTTGGATATTTTCTGGTTTGTGTAACCAGAGTAGAAGCAGAAGCTCCAGGCGAGAGAAACAACAAGAACCTGAACTAAGGTGAGTAAAACTCCCGGTACCAGCAAAGTGCTCTTGTATTTCCAAGAGAAGCAGCGCCGGTATCAATCCTCCTGAAATGAGACATCAGCCAGCCAATTTCAAGGCTTGTCTTGCAGAAAATGGGGCACAAGATTCAGCAGCTGAGCAGTCCTGCTGACCTCAAATTTAATTTGCTCCGAGGTGATATAAGAGCAGGATAATACGACGGTTGTTGTACTTCCAGAGTGCTCCTGACAAAGTCAATCTGTCACTGACACCCCCATCTCACAGGAGGAACTGCGACCCACGGATGCCAAAATCAAGCCCATAACAACAATCCCCACTTACCTGACAATCTCAAGGATTTGCTGCCAAGAGGAGAAGAAACTGGAACGATTTCTGCTCGGTGTGCAGCTCGACACAGGCACTTTGGAGGATGTTGAAAGGACCAATTGCCTGGTCAGGCTCTGCTCCCAGGGAGCAAGTGATGGGGTGAGAGGAAACGGCCTCAAGCTGCACCAGGGAATGTTCAGTTTGGACATCAGGAGGGATTTTTTCATGGAAAGGGTTGTCAAGCATTGGAATGAGTGCTCAGGTGGAGTCCCTACCCCTGGAGGTGTCTGAGGAAGGCCTGGAGATGGCACTCAGAGCTCTGGGCTGGGGACAAGGCAGGGATTGGTCACAGGTTGGACTTGATGGTGTTGGAGGTCTTTCCCAACCTGAATGATTCTGTGATTTTACAGAGAATGAGAGATGCCTTTGAAATGGCTTCCCACACTGCTGTTAGATATCTGAGCCTCCCACTGTTTGACCAGCACCTTCTTGTCCTTCATTTTCACTAAAAAATAAAAATCCATGAGAAAAAAGGGTTTCTTTGGGGAATTTCTTTAAGAAAAAGCCCTTCAGACCTTCAATACTGTAATATCCCTCTCTGAGCTTGAATGATCCTGTGTCTGTCACGTGTGGCTGATGGTTTTTGGCTGTGTTACCTTTGATGGTGCCTGTCAAGTTCACCCACTGTTGTGATCCCTGCCCGTGCCTGGGACAGTGTGAGGTCAGGATGAAAGGAAACAGCCTCAAGTTGTGCCAGGGGAGGTTTATATTGAATATTAGGAAATTTTTTTTTCATGGTAAAGGTTGTAAAGAATTAGAGGAGGCTGCCCAGGGCAGTGCTGGAGTGACCACCCTGGAAGTGTTCAAAAAATGTGAGGATGGGGCATTTGAGGGCATGGTTTCATGAGGAGCAAGGTTGGTGCTGGGCTGACAGTAAGACTTGATGGTCTTAAAGGTCTTTTCCAACCTTAACAATTCCATGATTTTATGTGCCCAGACTCAGCTCCACAGCTTAGGTGATGGAGAAGGGTTTGCCCAAAAACTTTACAATGCATCACGCTGGAATTATCCCAGTTTGGTGGGGAAGATGAACCCTGAAGTCCCTGCCCTGGCTCTCAGGCTGGGCAAATCTAAAATTTCTGGACAAACCCATTGGGCAGCCTGAATCCCAACCAGAACCTGTTTAGCAGCAGCCAATCTGCAAGAGGTCAGTGATGGGAAATCCCAAATATTTGGTGGTGTGAAGGGTTTGTGGGCAGGGTGAGGATGCCCAGAGAGCTGCAGGCATTGAAAGCCTTGTGATAAAGGGCCAAGTGAAGCATCAAATCTACAGGAACAGATTTAAATCGACTTTCTTGCGCAGCAGTGTTCTGTGGGCACTGAATAAGGCTGAAGGCTGATGTTGCCAATTTTTTTCTGTTGTTGTCAGCAAGAAGGACAAAATCAGCAACACAGATCCTTGCAGATGAACCCCACAACTCCTTCACCACTGCTGCAGGGTTGGAGACAAGGCAGGGCGGGAGATTTTGGGCTGTTTCACCCATAATCTTTCAGTCACCAAAAGATCTGACAGTGCTTTAAAATATGTCAGTGGAGCAGAGGTGACCTTTGAGGTCCACATGACCTTTGGAACACAAGAAAGATGAGTCTCTTGTGACATTCACTTGGAATCGCAGGAATTTAAGCTGTCAGTGCACCTGAAAAGTTCCTAGAGGTGGTGGTGTATCCAAATGATTTAGCAGAGGTTTTGTGATTCCCATTGAAAGTCTGGTCAGGAAATATTAAATGCTCAGCAAGAAAATGAAGTGTTACCTGCTGCACACCTATAAAATGAAAGGTAATGTGATAAAATGAACTAAAAGGTCTCCTCTTCTCTGTGTTAAAAACGGCACTGGTGTGACTGTTGTTGCTGTGTAACAATTCCCCTTCAGGAAAGGCAAGTCCTACAATGTAATATAATTTTTTTTTTCCATGATCTTTACAGGTTTGGGGAAGAAAAACATTTCAAGGAGTACCCAGCTCCAGGGGTCTGTTGAAAAATTAGATCAGCCACATCTCTTGTATTTCCCACACACGAAGAGGTGTCTCCAGAGCAGGTGCTGGAGATGACTGGACACTGAGGGCAATTCAGCTGCTCCTTTTGCTGTCTTTCACAACCCCTTCACTGCCACCCTCCATTCCCTACCCTTCCCCAAATCATCTCCTGCTTCCCATTGTGTTCTCTCTTCCTTCATCTTCACTTTTCCCCAATGTCTTCCACTAAACACCACTGATATTTTTAAAATTGTAGTGACGCAACCCAAATTTACAAATCATTCTGCTGCTGGTTCCTCTGGCAGATCTTTCTCCTTAACTCATGTACCTCATCTATTTGAATTACAAACTCATTGGGGCAGAGGCCACATTTTAACTGTAGCAGAGTGGGGATTTATGTAGCATAATTAAGCAGGATAATAAAATACACCTCAGTGAAGGCTGAAATGTAAATTGTGGAGCCCACGTTGGTTTCATTGCTCTTAAGGTGAACGTGTGAAGACTTTTTCTTGCTTCTTTCATAATTTAGATGGGGGGATGCAGTGAGTGCTGCAGGAAATTGTCACTGAGGAAGATCTGCTGATGGGCTGCTCACCCAGGCCCATCATACCCTGTCCAAGCAGAAACTGCTCTTCCTGCTGAACTTGTGTCTCATGTTTTACCTGTTTTACCTTCCCCAGGCCTTCAGCCATTTCCTGGGCCTGCAAGAAAACTGGAGAGGGGCTTTGGACAGGAGGAGGGAGTGTTAGAGCAAGGGGGGATGGTTTCAAACTGCCAGAGAGCAGGGATGGATGGGATATTGGGAAAGAATTCCTGGCTGGGAGGGTGGGCAGGCCCTGGCACAGGGTGCCCAGAGAAGCTGTGGCTGCCCCTGGATCCCTGGAAGTGTCCAAAGCCAGGTTGGACAGGGCTTGGAGGACCCTGGGACAGTGGGAGGTGTCCCTGCCCATGGCAGGGGTGGCACTGGATGGGCTTTAAGGTCCCTTCCAACCCAAACCGTTCCATGATTCTGTGATTTGGTGTCACTACAGCAGAAGATCTCCAGACCTCTCCACCTTCCTCCGTCCCTGTGCTTGTGACACCCTCACAAATCTGAGGTCAACATCTTTCTTGTCTTGGGGGCTACAGAACCTGGATATGTGATAACCACAAATATCCATGCTAGATTTGTGTTCTCCTGAAATTCTCTGTGTTGGTAGCAAGATTCCCTCGTGGATCACTGTTCCAGGGAGCAGAGTGCCCCCACCCAACCGTGCTCATGGGATTATTCAGGGCAGCCATGGATTTAGGCAGACAAGAAGAGTTGAAAAGTGCAGAACAGTGAACAGCCTTTGCTGTGTGCTTTTCACACCGAGGTAGAAAGGAACCAGAGGAGATAAACACAGCCTCGCTCTCATTTTTCCAAGGGAAGAAGCAATAAGTTTGTAGCCTTGGGTTATGAACCTCTTGGTCTCTCAATCGCAGTCTCGGCTGTGGTCATTATGAGTTCAGTAAATTTTGGAACCTTTGCAAAATGCTGTGGCCTCTTCAGCAAGAAGCCGTTTGTCTGAAGTGGGTTTTGTTCAGTGGATACAGAAGTTGCTGGAATGTGATGGCAGGAAAATCCATGGGGGTAGAGATATTCCTCAGAGTATTTCTTACAAAATTAATGCTCCCTTGCTTCCATGGAATAAAAAGGGGCTGGAATATCGATGAGAACTTTATTCCCACCACAGGAAATATAAATCCACATGCTGCAGAAGGAAAACAAAACCCAGAGATTTTTTTTCCCTTGTTTGGGTTCTTTCTTTTCACGGTGTCCCCCACGTGCTCAGTTCTCCCTGAGCTGGGAAAGAGCAGGGAATACAGAGAGGAGGAAATGGAGCAGCTGGGCTGGCACACACCTGAAACTTCTGGTTCCAGCTCTCTCCTCTGGAAGGTGTGGATGGATGATAACGGATCACGGGAATGCAGCAAAATTCTCCTTTTGAAATCCCTGCAGGCTCTCTTACTGCCAACATTTTCACCAGTAACCATCCCTTGAGACAGAAATTTTTCATTCTGCAACTCAGAAGCCTCTTTACCCCAGCAGAGATGCTCACTGCCCTTGTTCTCAGCTAGAATGAGGCAAGTCCTGCCTCACTCTTAAAAAAATTCGGTGTTGTCACCCTTTTCCCATCCAATACCCACTGAGGTGAACAGAGTTCACTGTCTGAGCCCCTGTCACAGGAACGAGTGGCCCTCTGTGGTGATAGCACAGGGATTAGAACACTCATCCAACCTTGAGCAGTTCTTCTCACCCCTCCCCTCTTGGGCATCACACAACCCCACACTGAAATCAGTGAGGCTCCTTCAGTCCCAGGCTGAAGTTCTTCAAATTGCAAAACCCACCCAAAATGTGAAAATGAGCAAAAAAAAATAAAAAAAAAAAGAAAGAAAATATCAAGATCTGGCATAAAGTCAGGTAAAATTTATGTGTTCCAAACTCATGCAGGTATCAAAGGAAAAAAGAGACATTTCAGGCTGAGAATGAGAGCTGCAGAAAGCCCTGATTAAGAAAGTGTCACTGCGAGTCTGATGAAGGAATGAGAGGGCACAGCCTGGAGTTAAATATCAAAGTACAGACAGGTGAGATTATAACAGAATGAAACCCAAGCATGGATTAATGTTCTGCTGGGAATTGTTCTACTGTGCTGCAAGGAGCAAATTTCCCATTGTCTCTGCTTGAAAATCCTCTGTGCAAAGAAGATCCTTTGGCAACTCGGATCTGGATTTGGCATTGCAAAACAACATTAATCCTCAGCAATTACGAAGTGTTCTCAGGCTGACCTTCTCCTGCCACATAGAAGCTGGGCAGGAGGAAGAGCCAGAGGTTTGGAATGTGTCTCCCAGCCTTGGATCATAATGAAAACGTTTATGCTGCAGTCAGTGGCTGCAGTCAGTGGCTGCAAACCATGGGGATGTGCCTGGGAGAGCTTTCAAAGCTGTCTGGGGAGGCAGAGAGAGGGGCAGCATCCACAGCGTGGTGCTCAGAGCCAGCTGCAAGCCCTGCCTGCAGAAATGCTGCAGTCTTTATCTCAGTGCCCCTCTAATTAGTGCTGCTGGTAATTGGCTCTATGGGTTAAAACTGGAGCCTGGCAGCTGGGCTTTCAAAGGTCCAGGTGACCCCAAAAATCAGCTGGGCAGCAAACAGAGGAGTCCTCAGCTGGAATATCCATGTGTGGTTGCACTTCCCAGGCCACACTGGCCCATGTGGGGCCTTGGAGTTGCCTCAAGTGGCCCGTGGGGTGGGAACCTTTGGAGAAGTGATGGATCCATAAAAAAGCTGGGATCAGGAAGTTAAGACAAGTGCTTGGCTGATTTTGGAAGGAAGAAAGGAGATTGTGATGTGTGGCAAAGACTCTGGATTCTGGAAGTGCTCCATGGATTGTTCCCTGCTGTGTTGAGGGAAAGAGCCAGCAGCCATCCCAGGAGACCCAACCCTCCTCTTTTAGGATTTGGCTTAGCCTTCCTCCCAGTGACTGGCCAAATCCCAATGGGAATGGGGCTCTGGGGGGCAGGAATCAGGAGATGAGAAGCTGCTAAAGTTTTCTGGAGCGTTTGCCCAGCTCTTCACAGCACTCAGGTCCCAAAATGACTTGGGCCAAGAGAGAGATTTCAGGATTTTAATGAGCTATCAGATCCTGAGGTTGTAGTAGAACTACACCAGCAGCAAATCCTATTTGCTGTCCCGTTCTCCAGAGTACCAACACACTACTCACTTCTGCTGGAGGAGAAAAGTCTTTTTGTGCTGAGAATAATGAATGGCCTGAGCCAAAGCGTGGCCAGATGGTCCCAATCAGCAGTTGTTTATACCCAGACCTGGGAGAACAGGTCAGGCAAACCCCCTGACCCTAATGCTGTCTGTAGAAAAATAATCAATTTACAAGGCCAGGCAGGGTGACCTGTGAGCCCTGTTTGTTGATCCAAGACATAACGGCTCAATAGCTTTAATTATTAAAGCCAGAACAGACAACCATTGATCCTCCCACTTAGTGCCATCTCTGCAGCCTCAGGGCCAGCGATTTGGAGCAGGGGAATTTGTGGGGAAAGAAAGAGAACCAACTTTGAAAGGCTGATCCACTGGATCACCAAAATTTTGGACCCTGATTCTGAAACCTGGCTCCCACATGTCCGTCCTTTCCAGCATCTCAGAGCAATCAAGTGATGACCCTTCCCTGAGAACACAAGTTCCTATTTTTCAGCTTAACAAGGCATTGAAAAAGTCATTTATAGAGTTGACCCAGATCATCTTCTCTCTCCAACAGTTCACAAAGCAATCGGTGTAAAGGACATTAATCAAGTTGGCGCCAAGAGGTAATTGAAGACAGTAATTACTCAGTTTTTATAGAGCTGGAAATGTAATAAGGATTTTAAGAAAGTAATAAGTGAAGCTTTCTGCTGAGAGATCCCCTGGTGCACACAGTTTAGCCAAGGGCCCATCTTTTTGAAAATACATTTTCGTGTAGTTATTACATCACTGTCTTGCTGGGACATCTCTCCTGAGCTTTTGTAAATGTAATGGGTTTTGCTGAATCTGAATCCACCATCTCTGCATCCCGAATTTCCGTGGCAGATTGACACCTCTAATGCAGCAATAATGCAGGAAACAGCAAACACACGTTTTTGTGCTTTACCTTCTCCCAGCTCCTGCCTTCCTCCCTCCAACCTGGTAGATTTCTGTCAGGCACCCAATTTTTCGTTCTGCTTTGGAAGCCATGACAAAAAGGATCTGATTAAATTTCCCAAAGGCACATTCAGCTCATGCAGCAGCCCTGAGGCTTTTTGTGGTCAGAAATGGAGGCAAATTTTCCTGGCAGGCTCAAAGGCCATTTCATCTGCTTCCATCACAAGATTCCTCAGCAGAAAGAAAAACTCGGATGAAACAGCAAATTTACCTTCACTTAATCACGATGAAAACTCTTAAAAGCTCCCTGTTTATACAGAATACCCCGAGTTCAGTGAGATGCTGGTCCAGTTATTCCTTGATTCCTCGGGCATTTCTGGGGTCCATCCCACATTGCCTCACGTGCAGGACTCCTGAGTCCTCTCCTTACCTGGAACTGGTTCCTCACAGGAACCTAAATTGCTCCATGCCTTTGTTTCTCCACCTTTACTGACTTTCCTCTGATTTATCTCCTTAATTCTTTGAAAATGGAATTCCTGCTTGCTGGGCACATCTTCTGTCCGGACCTGTCCCTTGAGTCACTGATGGGGACTGTAAACTCCTCAAGGCAAGCAGCAAATACGCTTTAATTTGCATATTTGCAAATTGGTTTGCACAACGTGGTGGCACAAGCAGGTGCTGCTGGAATAAGAAGCCTCAGTCTTGGCTGAACGGGTTAATCAGGGAGAGGCGACAAAAATCTGGGGTGATGTCCCAGGCCCCCACACTCAACCTCAGCATTTCTACCACATTTATATGAAGGCTTGACATGACCCTACTTCTTTTAAAATTATTTTAACCTAAGTTCCAGCTCCATCTGCATTCAGACATTCTGGGCTGGGAGCACACATTCCATCACTCCAGCAGGTAGCTGCAAGAGGAAGCTCAAGCTGAAGAATTATTTGGGATATGTCTGGTTCTGGCTCTCCTCCAAGGGCAGGCAGCTCATTACTAGCAAAGCACTTCTGTCCTACAGGGTTTTGTGGCTTTCTGGCTCCGATCTTTGATGAAATTCCATTTAATGACAGGTCTATTCACAAGATCTCCTCCCTAACAAGGACCACTCCCTCTGGAGGGAGGAATCTTCCACGCTGTTGCTGGGATGGGATCCACCTGGACTGATTCTTAAATGGCTCTGCTTCAACCCCTTCCCTGCCTTGCAGCCAGCAGAGCCCTCTGAAGCTCCAGGAACAGAAAACTGGGGTTGAATTAATCGCCCGTGGCTCCGGATGCATTTCCTGCATCGCACAATTCATCTCTGCATTCACTCGTTGGTCTCGTTAGGTTTGATTAAAATTTGGTAGGGGATTCTAGGACCTTCCAATGACCCATTGTGGTGTGTGCTGGAAATTCATTCAGGTCAATTAGACATCTGCCACGTTCAGCCTCACAGGCCATGACATATGTTTGCTCAACAGGGTACGGCAACAAGGAGAAATTGAATTCACATCCCGAGCAAGGTGCCACGACGGTGTATCAATATCGGTTTTTAATGAGATGTGCTGTCTTTCACAGGCAGCAAAAAGTGTAAATTTATGCTAAAGTGTCAACAAATGCCAGTCAAAGGAATCTCTGTGTGGTGCCTGAATGCAAAAGACACAGAGGGATAGGAGGAGTCATTCGGATCAGCTTGTGGACTCCAAGAATTGAATCGACTTGCATTTATTTGGCTGCACTTGCCCAAAGTAAAATCCCCTTTCAGCTGGGGCCTCTCAAAACCTGGGGGCTCTTTTAGGCCCCTCATGACAAGCAAGCCACTGAGGGGCTGGGGAGTGTCCAGGGAATGGAGCTGGGAAGGGTCTGGAGCCCCAGGAGAGGGTGGGGGAGCTGGGAAAGGGGCTCAGCCTGGAGAAAAGGGGGATCAGGGGGAATTTCTGGCTCTGCACAACTCCCTGCCAGGAGGGGACAGCCGGGGGGGTCTGACTCTGCTCCCAGGAACAGGGACAAGAGGAGAGGGAACGGCCTCAGGCTGGGCCAGGGGAGGTTTTAGATTTTGATATTAGGAAAGATTTCTTCCCTGAAAGGGTTGTCCAGCCCAGGGTGGAGGTGGAGTCCCCATCCCTGGATGTGTTTAAAAAAAAAAGGGGAAATGGCACTTGGTGACATGTTTTAGTGGGCATTCAATTAAGGTTGGACTTGATGATATTGAAGGTCTTTTCCAGCCTCACTAATTCTATCGTTCTATGACTTTCCCAAGGAAGGAAGAGAACCCAGAATTCCTGAGTTTATTTATTCTGACAGCAGAATAACAGGGGCCCTCCCATGTACTTCTATGTGTAAAGTGAGTGCAAACACAAACACAGCCTGTAGCCAGGCATGTTAAAATGTAAAAATATATAATGTATTAACACAGCTCCCTCAAAAACACATGGCCTGTTCACTCAAAGAATCCCAGAATATTTTGGGGTGGAAAGGACCTTAAAATTCATCTCATTCCACCCACCTGCCATGGGCAGGGACACTTTCCATCAGACCAGGCTGCTCAAATTCTGAATTTTGGACACTCAGGATACTGAGCAGAGGCCACAGATTGATTTGAATATTTCCTTTATTTATCTGCTTATTTATTTAATTTAATCATTATTTAATTTATTTATCTAATTTCTCTGGTCTAAAAAATAACTTCTTCCCCAGTTTAGCTGAGTAGCTCTTCTCTGCCAGTTGTCCCAAATGGAGAGTATTGTACACATTTTCCATAATAAGCTAATTTAACCAGCTAATTTAACATTAATAGCAAATCTGTGAGTTGAACACCAGCAAATGAACTCATTAAAGAGAAAAGGACTTGTGCTTTCTCCTTTCTTGTTCTTTTTTTTTTTGTTCCCTCTAGTTTTGCACTTTTAGCAAGATGCTCTGGGGAAATCAGGATTTCAGGGAAATTTGGATGATCAAATAAATAGGGCTTGATTGATGAATTAAAAAGGATTCATCAGAATGTCAAAATGCTTTTTCAGGAAGATGCCAGCTTTGTCTGTGCTGTTTAGGAGGGACCCAAGGCTAGAGGACCCCACATGGGCTTTTTAAAATTGATTCTTCTCCGTCTCCTCAAGTGCTGCACCTCTCCAGCCCTGGGGCTTGCTGTGAACACTGATTATTTCTGAGATAAATCTGAGGACTTTAGAACACGTTATTGTGACTTTCACATCAGTGATCAGGACACAGAGATTTAATTGTCTACTCACCCAAAGGCTTCCACTAATCCTTCACTACTTCAGATACTGCAGCTGGGCCAGGTGACATCCAGAGCTCTCTTCCCACCTCAATCATTCTGTTTCCTTCTTTTTCACTGGTGTCTGTAAAATTTTGGTGAAAATACAAGGCATGAGTGCACACAGGTAAAATACTCCAATACTCAAGTGTCCCAGCCACAGAGTGTGAAACTTCTGTTATCTCCAGACACCTGTGGATAACTCTGTGTTATCTCCAGGTACCAGCCCTGCTCCTGGTCTGTGCCTGGACACACCCTGCAGCTGTGGCCAGGTGCAGATGTGTTTCTTCTGAGGGTCTGAGGCACACCAGAATGTGCCTTGGGTGAGAAAATATGTGGGAGGTTTAGGGATCAGGAGAAGCTTAGGATGGATATTGAGAAAAATTTCTTCACCGAAGAGTGATCAAGCACAGAACTGTCTGTCCACAGCACTGGTGGAGTTACCAGGGAATCAGAATCATGGAATGGTTTGGGTTGGAAGGGACCTTAAAGCTCATTTCATTCCAACCCCTGCCATGGGCAGGGACACCTCCCACTGCCCCAGGCTGCTCCAAGCCCTGTCCAATCTGACCTTGGGCACTTCCAGGGATCCAGGGCAGCCACAGCTTCCCTGGGTACTCTCTGCCAGGGCCTCACCACCTTCACAGACAGGATTTTTTTCCTAATATCCAACTTAAAGCCACTCTCTTTCTATTTGAAGCCATTCCCCCTTGTCCTGCCTCTCCATCCCTTGTAAACAGTCCTTCTGCATCTTGTTCCTTCCTTCAGGCCCAGTGAGGTCACCCCAAAGCTTCTCCTCCTGAGGCTGAACAATCCCAACCTTTCCTCCCAGCAGAGCTGCTCCACCCCTCTGCTCATCCTGGAGCATCCTCTGGACTCTCTCCAGCATCTCGAGGTCCTTCCTGTGCTGGGAGCAGAGCTGGAGGCAGCTCTGGAGGTGGGCAGAGTGGGCAGAGGGATCCCACTGGAAGGGTTAGGAAGCCATGTGGATGTGGCTCTGAGATCCAGGAGAACTGAATTTCATATAACATGAAATTTATGGGCATGTTTGTAACTTTTCTCTAAAAAATCCTTTTTCTGTTTTTCTGATTTCGCTGTATTTCTTCTGTATTTTTCTGTCTCTTCCTGGATTTCTCAGCCTCCTTTGGACTGAATTCTTTTGGGAATCCTCCCTCGTGGGGGGCCCTGCTTATCTCAGTTCTTATGATTCAAAGAAAACTCCCGAGCTCGTTAGAATCTTGTTTCTTGTGTTTATTAAAAGGTCATCACAAAACTTAACAGGTCTTTCCAGGCTGGCTATACAAGGTTAATCTTTGCAATCTGGTACATTTCTTTCTTCTGATGGTACAAACAAGGCCTTGTGGCACACTTCGTGTCTGATGCACAAAATGGCCCCAAAATATGCAGCTCTTTTATCTTTATACCTATTTTTACCCAATTAACAATAGACACGTATTTTTTTTTCTTAATGACCCAATGACCCATCACCTGTGTGCTGCACTGTGACATTTTCTATCCAATCACTTACTACTACCCAAAAACCTCTGGAAGAAGAACATGAAGAAGAGAGAAGAAGGGACAAGAGACAACACCCTAAATCTTCCATCTTGTCTCTTGTTCTCTAACTTTTTCACCCAGTGATTGAAGAAAACTCTCTAATCTACACACTTACACTTTAAGCTTTTTCCATCTAACTTTCACATTTGTTCTCATGTATCACCATGAAAACACGCTCATGAATTTCATGTTATATGAAATTCAGTGTTTTTCTGGATCTCAAAACTAAGTATCAGAAACAGGGGCACACGCTCTGTATTCCAGACTCCAACACATGTTTTCATGGTGTTACATGAAAACAGCTGTTAAAGTTAAATAGAAAAGCTAAAAGTGTGAGTGTGTAAATTAGAGAGTTTTCTTAAGTCACTGGGTGAAAAAGTTAAAGTTTAGAGTTTAAACTAGTTTAGAAAATAGAAGACAAGATGGAGGATTTAGGGTGTTGTCTCTTTTCCTTCTTCTTTCTTCTTCATTTTCTTCTTCCTGAGGTTTTTGGGTAACAGCAGGTGATTGGATAGAAAATGTCACAGTGCAGCACACAGGTGATGGGTCATTGGGTCATTAAGAAAAATATTTTATGTGTCTATTGTTAATTGGATAAAAAGAAATACAAAGATTAAACAGCCATGTGGTTCTAGGCCATTTTGTGCCATTACAGCCAAAGTGAGCCAAAGAGACAAGACGAATTGAACTTGTGCAGAAAGTCTGGAGAGACCTGCCAAGTTTTGTGATAACATCCTAATAAACACAAGAGAAACAAGATCCTAACGAGATCTGGAGTTTTCTTCTGACCCAGAGAACTGAGATAAACAGAACTCCCTGTGAGGGAGGATCCCAAAAGAGCTCAGCTCAGAGGAGACTGAGAAATCCAGGTGTGAGAAGTGCAGCAGAATCAAAAAGAGAAAAATTACACTCAGGAACATGGATTAGGGGTGAGCATGGCAGAGCTGGGGGAATGGTTGGGTTCTATGATCTTAGAGGGTTTTTCCAACCTCAGTGGTTCCATGATCCCATGATGGCAGGAGGAGATGTTGGACAGGACGGTTGGCAGGAGAGGACAGCTCCTTCTCACCCCGTCACAGGGTGAACAAAGCACCGTCCCACCCACAGCTTCTGGAAAAACAGCCCAAGGAATTGTTCCAGGAACAACTGGACGTGCTCTGCTGTGGCTGAGAAGGTGGGGATCGAGGGCTGGACTCGATCTTGGAGGTCTTTTCCACCCTCAGTGATCCTCAGACTCATCCAGTGGGATGCAGCACCTGGAAGTGATGTCAGCCCTGCTCCTCCCAAAAGCTGACTAAACTCCCACCCTGTTCCTTCAGCTGGAGATTCCACTCTTGTCTTGGATAGACTGGAACATCCTTGCACAACTGTGAAGCCCCATTAATCCTCCCTTCAGTGTGTTTGTGTGTGTGTGAATAATAAATTTCCCGTGCTAAAACTACCTAAGCTCCTGCAAC